TATAAACTATATAAGCAATTAAATTTGAAATTAAAAATATAATACCATAGTGTAAGGAAAAAGAAAGAGGGAAAGGGACAGAAATTGAAAAAGAGAACTTCATAAAAGGCCACATAAGCAGATTACTGAATGCCAAAAGTAATCAGTAAAAGTGAGATAAATTACAATTGTATTATGTTTAATGACAGACAGACAAAATAGAAAAAATATATATTCATATATATATGCCAAAATATGACTTAAGGTGGTGGAAGAATTTCTGCTTGGACAGCTCATAACTGTACGCCCCTGAATCCCTGATTGGCTAGCACTTAGAAACCACTCTGAAATCTTGAGTGAAGAAATCTGCAATCCCTAGCCAATTAAATAACAAAATTAAAGAGACAACATTAAATCCAGGTTTCTCCATCCAAGCTTTCTCTCTTAGAGCAAAACTGGGTTTTAGCACTAAAGCACACACACCCCCATTCTGTAGCTCAACCTGGGCTCGAACTCATAATTAATACCTAAGGTTGGCCTTGAATTCGTGACTCACAAGATTAAACATTGATCATGGAACCACATCAAGAAACAACAAAACCCACAATCTACAGATCAATTTTACTGAATACAGATGCAAAAATTCTCTTTAAAAGTAGTTACGTGTAGCTGGGCATTGGTGGTGCACTCTGGAGGCAGAGGCAGGCGATCTCTGTGAGTTTGAGGCCAGCCTGGTCTACAAAAGGTAGTTCCAGGACTGCCTCCAAAGACACAGAGAAACCCTGTCTCGAAAAACCAAAAAAAAAAAAAAAAAAAAAAAGTAGTTACGTGTGTGTGTGTGTGTGTGTGTGTGTGTGTGTGTAGGTCAGAGGACAATTTGAAGGAATTTGTTCTCTTCTTCCACATTATGTGTCTCAGGAATCAAACCCAAGACATCATGTCAGGATTGGTAACAATTGCCTGCTGATCCAGCTCCCCAGCGCTGTCCTTTTGTTTTTTTTGTTTGTTTGTTTGTTTGTTTTTGTTTTGTTTTTGGACACGCTCTGAATGCCTGAAACTCTCAGAGATCTGCCTGACTTTACTTTCAATTTGCTGGGATTAAAGGAATGCACCACTACCTGTCTCCAAAAATTCTTTTTTTTTGTTTTTTGTTTTTTGTTTTTCAAGACAGGGTTTCTCTGTGTAGCTTTGGAGCCTATCCTGACACTCACTCTGGAGACCAGGCTGGCCTCGAACTCACAGAGATCTGCCTGCCTCTGCCTCCCGAGTACTGGGATTAAAGGCATGCGCCACCAATGCCCGGCCTCCAAAAATTCTTAATAAAGTATTTTTAAGCTGAATAAAACAACATGTTCTAAAGAGTATACATTGTGACAAAATTTATTGAATTCTAGGCACAAAACAATAAATGCAATACAACACACAAATAGAACCAAGGATAAAAAATTATATGCTCATCTCAATTGACTCAGATAAAGCCTTTGACAAGATTTAGCATTCCTCTTTGATGAAGGCTCTGAGGAACTGAAGGAAGGGATAAATATGACAATCTGATAGACACCAAACTAAATGAAGAAAAATAAACTGTTTTCTCTAAAACTACACAAGGGTGTCTACTTTCCCACTATTATTCAATATACTGCTGGAAGATATCCAGATCAGTAAGTCAAGAGCAAGACATAAAAAAAGATACAAATTGGTAATGAGGACTTCTATTTTCATATAATTCTATTTTCTTGTAATATAATCCTATGCTAGAAAGACTCAAGGACTCCATCAGAAAATTCTGAAATGTGTCAAACACTTTAATCAAAGTAGGAAGATACCAAAGGAAATACAAACATCAGTAAGTCTCTATATCAATAATCAACTTACTGGTAAAACAATCACATCAGCCTCTTATAGCTGCAACACACACACACACACACACACACACACACACACACACGCACGCACACATGCACACACATACACAAAAGTAAATGAATAGGAATAAATCTATGAAAGAAAGTGAATGGCCTTTTCAAAAACTTTATCAAGACATTGAAGAGAGAAATTGAACAGGACAATAGACAATGACACAGGAAAAATTACATACCCATAAGCTAAAGAAAGAGATCAGAACCCTAATTTGATTTTAAGCAAAAACAACTTCAAACTGTTAAACAACTTAACAATAACCCACAACCTTCAGGCCAACTAAAAATCAATTCAAAATGGATGAAGGACTTTGAACCGAGTGCCTGGTACATATTAGGCAACTGCTCACTGCTGGTCTTCCCGGCTGCCATGGTCCTTAGAGTACTCTAATCCTCTCTACTTCTGTTTAATAATATAGGAAGAAAAACCTCTGGTCATTAGCTTCTTTCACCATTAACTTTTCCAAAAGTTCGTGGAGTCAAGCAACCATGGACAAAACCCTCTAAAACCATAAACAACCCCAAATTAACCTAGCCTGTCTGAAGTTTACTCTGCTAAGTATTTTGGCCACAGGGATCTAAAACAACTAACTGGGAAATGACAGGAAACAACTTCCTGAGTTGCCGCTGTTTGATCTTTTTGTTTGTTTGTTTTTAGAGACAGGGGTTTCTCTGTGTAACAGCCATGGCTGTAATGGAATTCACGTTGTAGACCAGAGTGGCCTCAAACTCACAGAGATCCACCAGCCTCTGCCTCCTGAGTTCTGGAATTAAAGGTCAGGGTGAGTCCCAACCAATAACGTGGAGAATCGTCAAGGAAGACATGCATTGTCAACTTCGGGCCTACACATGTGTATCACACAAATGTGATTACCCATACACACACACACATGCATAATGAGATGGATGGATAGATAGATGGATGGATTTAAGACCCTAAAGAAAGAAAACTACAAAAACATTATGGATTTAAAATAAATAAATGGAGAAAAGCACTACTTTGATCCATTTGTTTGCCAAGAATTTGTAAGGTTGTCATGTTTCTATTTTGTTATTATATTTCATTTTGTTTTATATGTATGGCTGTTTTGTCTGCACATATATCTGTGAACCATTTGCATGTCTGGTGCATGAGGAGGCCAGAAGAAAGTGTCTGACCCTGTAGGACTGTAGAGTTAAAGACTTGTGAAACACTATATGGGTGCTTGGAATCAAATTCAAGTTCTCTAGAAGTACTTTTAACTGCTGAGCCATCTCTACAGCCCCCATTTTCTTTTTTAAAACAAAAAAGAAAACCTTATTTATTTTCTCTGTGTGGTCACAGTGCATGGAGGTCTGAGGAAACCATGAGACTTGGTTTTCCCTTCTACCATGTGGGTCCCAAGAATTGAACTCAGGTCTTCAGGCTTGGACATTTCACTAGGCCAGGCTGTCAGTTTTGAATGGGACCAGAGCAACTTCATGTAGTATGTGGTGAACATAGATGCAAAAGTCTCAAGTAAAAAAAAAAAAATTAAAATTAAGCCCAGATGCACATAAAGAGGGTAGTATTTCTTATTAAATAACCATTTATTATAGAAATGCAATATTGATCAACACCAGGGTAGCAAATCTTTTATTTTCATTCATTGGCTTATATTAGCTCATGGCATATAATAGTTGCTTAATAAATGTGCTAATTGAATAGAGTCTTTACATTTTACTACATTAAAGGGGAAAATATGCATGGAATCTTAGTGTCAAAACAAGGATTAGACCAATTCTATATCTCTTTTTCTGTCTCATTGCCCAGTGTCTTTTTTAATAAGAGAATATATTTAATTCATTAATTACTTAATTAACCAATTAATGTGTGAGTGTTCTGGTGCAATACTTTTGGAAGTCAGAGGACAACACTTGATAGTTTGTTCTCTCACTACTATGTGACATTGGGGACTGAAGGGCCTTTATTCATAGGTACTCTACCTGGCAGTTATATTCTTTCTCTCTCTCTTTTTTTTTTCTTCTTATTTTTTGGTTTTTCGACACAGGGTTTCTCTTTGGAGGCTGTCCTGGAACTTGTGCTGTAGACCAGGCTGGTCTCAAACTCACACAAAGATCCCTACTCTCCTCACACCAAGTCCTGGGTAGTTGCTTCTCAAAGGCCATCTTGAGATGCCTGCTGAGCACAGGCGCAAAGCGACACAGCTTGTGATCCCAGAATTCATTGTGCGCTGCCTCTGGGGGCGGGGCCAGCTTCTGCCCCGGGAAGTTCTCGGGCTCACTCAGCTCCCCTGCAGCCTCGAGACCGAGGAGCTCCGTTGTGGGGTTTGCACCCCTGGATATTCCTGTCAGGTTCGGGGAAAGCTTTATTTCAGTCATGGGTTCGTAAAGAGCTTCTGGGCATTTGGGGGGGTTACAAGGATAGTCTTGTCAATTTCAGAAACTAAGATGAAATCTCTTATCAAACAGGGATACAGGAGAGCCGTTGTCAGTCTGAGGCGGCTGCTGCAAAGAAATGCCTGCCATTTTGGAGCCGTGAAAAAACATCTTCGTTTAGTATCAGGATTTGAGGGAAGTTTTTTTTGATCATTTACAGCCGTTTTGAAGAGATTTATTTTATCATCAGGGGTGTGAGGAGATCCCTGTCATGTTTAAAGTGCTTGGGGATAACAATGCTCGCTACTGGCCCGGAAGAAATGCGGAGAAGGTTCGTTTTAAGTCTCAGAACCCAACTCCAGGACAGTGACTTGAGTGCCTAGTCTCATATTCCTTGTCCTGAAAGACTCTGAAGTAACTTTCGAATAACCTGACCAGACATCAAAGGACCTCTACATCTCTGGCCTCTTCTGTTTTGAGGATACGCGCAGGTTTCTCCCCAAGCGCCTCCCCTTCTTTATGACGTAGTTTGTGTCATAATACCGGGAGTGGAGAATTCTAGAACCTGGGAAGCAAGAGTCCAGCAACAGAGCAGTTAACAGGAGCTTCTGACTTCAGGGCCAAAGAAAGTGGGCCCAAAAGGGCTCAAAGGGAGAACAGGGCCTCTAACTCTCTGATCTCTCTGAGGGAAAGAAATTCTGAAGGCTGAGTCCCAGAGACCATCACCCTGCAAAGACAGCCTTGATGCCTGTGTACTGTCTCTGTCGAAAGCCTTATGATGTGAACCATTTCATGATCGAGTGTGATCTGTGCCAGGACTGGTTTCATGGGAGTTGTGTTGGCGTTGAAGAAGAGAAAGCCGCTGACATCGACATCTACCACTGTCCAGACTGTGAGGTCTTACATGGGCCTTCCATTATGAAAAACTCGCATGAATCTTCTAAAGCACATGAAGCTCTCAAGAGGAAGCCAGTGATGACAGGGAGCCCTGTGTTTATTCACCAGCTCCAGGGTAAGACTTTTGACAGCGCGGACGAAGTGATTTTGAAGCCCACAGGGAGTCAGCTGACAGTGGAATTCCTGGAAGAGAGTAGCTTCAGTATACCCATCCTCGTCTTGAAGAAGGATGGGTTGGGAATGACACTTCCGCCACCGTCATTCACTGTCGGTGATGTGGAACAGTATGTTGGTTCTGACAAAGAGATTGATGTGATTGATGTGGCCTGTCAGACTAGTTGCAAGATGATGCTGGGTGATTTTGTGAAGTATTACTACAGTGGGAAGAGGGAAAAAATCTTCAATGTTATCAGTTTGGAATTCTCTAATACCAGGCTTTCTAACATCGTAGAGATGCCCAAGATAGTTAGTAAGCTTTCATGGATTGAAAACTTATGGCCAGAAGAGTGTGGCTTTGAAAGACCCAAAGTTCAGAAGTACTGCTTTATGAGTGTCCAGGATAGCTACACAGATTTTCACATTGAATTCGGTGGCACTTCAGTCTGGTACCATGTGCTTAAGGGTGAGAAAATCTTTTACCTGATCCACCCAACAGATGCTAACCTGACTCTTTTTAAGTGTTGGAGAAATTCCTCTAAACAAAGAGAGATGTTCTTTGGTGACCAGGTAGACAAGTGTTACAAGTGTTCTGTGAAGCAAGGGCAGACGCTTTTCATTCCTCCAGGATGGATCCATGCTGTGCTGAACCCCTTGGATTGCCTAGCATTTGGAGGAAACTTCTTACATAGTCTTAACATTGAAATGCAGCTCAAAGCCTATGAGACTGAGAAGCAGCTGAGCACAGCAGACCTCTTCAAGTTTCCCAGCTTTGAGACCATCTATTGGCATGTGGGAAAGCAAATTCTGGACATCCTTGGAGGTTTGCGAGAGAATGGGAGATGCCCTGCCCCTTACCTGGTTCGTGGTAGCAAGGCTCTGAATGTGGCCTTTCAGGCCTGGACAAGGAAAGAAGTTCTGGCAGACCACCAGGATGCAATCCCAGAGACAGTGCAGATCATACAGCTCATTGAAGATCTGGCTAGGGAGATCGGTCTGGTTGAAGATACCTCCCAACAGAACATCCAGAAGGTGAATACAATCTTTGGGGTCCAGCAGCTCTTTCTCACTAATTCCTCTTCCTTAACTAGGCCAACTCATTCTGCTTCAGAATCCAAGCCTACATTATCATTACCCTCCAAAAGTGACTCAAAAGAGAAAGAACCAAAGAATAAGGGTGTCTTCAAGAATGCCAAACAACAGGATGAGGAGTGTCAAGTCTTGGGGTCTGATGATCAATGTACCGATCATCTTAGAGATCTAAACAATCATCAAGTACTGAAGGTGGGCGATTCCCAGAAAGTAGATGCCTACTTGAATGACTCAGGTGATGACTCAAAATCTGACAATGTCTATGATGGGAATGAGAGCTCCATGGCTCTGATGATGGCTAATGGCAGTACCAAGAGGGAGAAGAGCTTGTCCCAGTCATGGAGAGCCAAAATCATAAAGAAAGAAGATAATTCAAGGTTGGTGAAAGAACAAGTAACGGGAGACCAGTTTGACTTGGATTCAAATGTTGAGCTGCAGACTGAAGAGAGACTGGGCAAAGAGAAAATGAACCTGGTAGTAAACCCAAATATTCCCCCAAATTTGCCCCATGTGAAATTTTGCTCTGGCCAAAAGCAAATTCATGAACAAGGGGAATCTGTGATCACCCCTGAGAACTGTAAAATAGATAAGGAAATAATGGAAGGGGTTGAAGACAAGAGATGGAATGGAAGTGGATTTAGTAGAATTCTTGATCCACTTAAGGCCAGGGAACAGGTGGACAGTCCTGGCTCTGATGTCCTCACTGAAGACCCAGACTCTTCCAGCAATAAGGAAGCTATCCAGGACATTGTGAGCATGCCTAAATTGCAGTATTCATCTCCTTCGCCAGCTCCCTGCAGCCTCCAGACCTGGTGGAGTGAAGGGCAGGACCAAAGCATTGAGAGCTCCAGCAGTGGCTTGGGCATGGTACCTAACAGTCTTGTTTCTCAGCACATCCGAAAGAAATGGCCCATCAAGCGGCTAGCATACTGGAGAACTGAGAGCACAGAGGAGAATAACAGGGTGAATAAGCAGGACAGCTTGGGAACGTGCTCAAAGGATGCTGAACATATCCATCTATTCCTGGAGTCTGATGATGATGATGATGACGACGATGACGACGACGACGATGATGATGATAGTGATGATGGCAATGATGATGATGATGATGATGATGATGATAGTGATGATGATGACGACGACCTTGTTTTGAAATCTCTACCAAAGAAAAGGAGAATATCAGATGATGCTCCATGGATTCCTAGTGCACGTGTGATTCCACCAGTACCAAAGCAAGATCGTCCCGTGCGCAAGAGTACCCGAGTTGCCTCCACAGAGGTTAGTTTGCCTGCAGCAGCTACAAAGTTGGCACAGCAGGTGAAGAACGTGAAGCTCACTCTTAAGTGACTAGTCCAGGATAGAGCAACCAGTAAATGGAGAAGATAAGACTTAAACCCATGTCTTCAAGTTTCAGTTTTCCTGTTGCTTGATACTTAAGTGAATATATATTTTAGTAATACTGTCTCATTTAAATGAAACTTAATAGGGTTGTGTTTTTTAATAGGATGTTCTATAGAGCTGTAGAGTTTCTTAGAAATGTCTTCCAGGCTGTTATTTGGAACCAGAAAAGATTAAGCAGGTCAATAGGCTCTTCTCATACTAGAACCTGCCCTCTGTCATTTATATCTCAGTGCCATGTGTAACTTGGAAATAAAGACTTTATTGCTTTAAATATACCCCAAAACAAAGAAAACAAACAAAAAAGCCCACAAAAGTAAAATACCCACCAGTATCTGTCTTGGTACTGCATATCCTTACAAATAATTTAGATCCAATTTTGAACCTTTGCTTGTGTCTAGGAATTCCTCCTTGGATAGACTTCACCAAAATAGAAGCATTAGAATCCCACTATTCAGACCCCTGAACATGGATGTCAATGAGGAGGCCTCTGCACTCTAGGGGGCCCCTGGTAGTGGATTAGTATTTTTCTCTGGTGTAAAAAGAGACTTTGAGAGCCCATCCCACTTGAAGGGATGCACTCTTGACCTGGACACATGGGGGAGGGCCTAGGCCCAGCCCAGGATGATGTGGTGTACTTTGCAGAGCCCCTGTTGAGGTCCCTACCCTGCCTGGGGAGTGGAGGGTGGATGGGGTGAGGGGTAGGTTTGGGGGGAAGGAGGGGTGAGGTTGAGGGGAGGGAGAGGGAGAAGGGATTGACATGTGAAACAAGCTTGTTCCTAATTTGAACTAATAAAAAAAATTTAAAAAAAAAGAATCCCACTGTTACCAGTTTTGACCAATAATACACTGCAGATTTTATCATTTCCTAAACACACATGAAACTGGTCCATCATCAAGCTGTTTTATAAAATCTGGGATGCATAATGAATGATTGAAATCTTTGGAACAATAAAATGATATCTTGCCTAATATAAATAAATAGAAATGACTTTATTTATTTTGGTTTTAGAGACAGGGTTTCTCTGTATTGCTTTGGAGCCTGTCCTAGAACTCGCTCTGCAGACCAGGCTGGTCTCGAACTCACAGAGATCTGCCTGCCTCTGCCTCCTGAGGAATGGGATTAAAGGTGTGCACCACCAATGACCAGTGGAAATGTCTTTATTATTGTTTGGATATGGCATGTCTCCTAAAGATGCACGTACCCAAGGCTTGTGCCCAATGCAGCCAAGTTCAGACCTGGAGGTTAAAGGGAGTAACTTGGACTATAAGTACTCTTATTTCATAATTGCAGTACTCACTGTTAGCCTCATAAGGGAACTGATTCGTGAAAGTAGTTGGAAAGTGTAGTCAGCAGGGCTTATTTGGAAATAATGCTAGCATAACCCTGAATTGTAGATTTTGTTCCAAGCACTTTGCTCTCTATTTCTCAACGTCTATGGAGTGAGCATTCTCTCCCTAAACTGGATCCCCTGGTTATGACGTCTGCCTCATCATTGGCTCAAAGAAATAGTCAACCATGAGCTGAAACATTTGGAACCATGAGCCTAAGTAAACCCACCATTAAGTTGCTATTCTTACCCTACCATAATGTTTTGTTTGGTTTTTTTGTTTTATTTTGAGATGTGGTCTCTCTACATAACCCTAGCTATCCTGGAATCCACTACGTAGACCATCCTGTTCTCAAACTCACACAGCTCTTCCTGTCTCTGCCTCCCAAATGTTGAATTTAAAGACATGTGTAACCTGGTTCTCTGGTTTCTTAGCTACTTTAAAAAAGATTTATATTTTATTTATTTAAGTGTTTTCCTGTTGTTTGTATATATACCATGTGTATGTATGGTGCCTGCAGAAGGCCAGAAGAGGGTATTTGATGACCTGGAACTGGGGTATAGATGATTGTGAGCTGGCTAAGGTGGGTGCTAGGGACAGAACTCAAGTCCTCTGCAAGAGTGCAGTGAGCACTCTTAACCAATGAACCACCATCTCTCCAACTCCATTTCTTGGCAACTTTTTTTTTAGAATTAATAAACATTATTTATGCTCTCAATTCTTTAAGACAGTATTAACAGAGTGGTGAAAAAATATTATTAAAAATGAAAGCAGGATTTAATGGGTCCACACATAAACAGAAAGTCAGTGAGGAGTCTGTCAGAAGTCACAGTCTAGGGCTGGAGAAAGGGCTCAGCTAGTAAAAGCACTTCCTGCTGAAGCCTGGTAACCCATATCAGATCTCTGAAATACATGAAAAAAAAACCTAGATGCATATGTAAAAATCTGCAATTCCAACACTCCTAACAAGAGAGGAGGTAGAGATAATGGAATATCCCAGAAGCTTGCAGGCCAGCTAGTCTGGAGTATACACAGCAGCCACACAACAACAGGCAAGATCTTGCTGCAACAAGTAGCATTTGACACCATATTTCTAGAATTGTCTTCTGACCTCCATTCTCAGGCTGTGCCACCCCCTCTAGCACATACATATTTACATTACACATGTGCATGCACTCATGAGCACACACACACACACACACACACACACACACACACACACACACACACACACACACAATTCATAAAATGAAAACTGGAAAAATTACAGTAGTGTCTGAAGCAAGGGAAAACTGAGAACTTGGAAACATACCGCATTCTTTTCTTCCTCAGACATGTATAAAATTGCATCCTAAAATCTTGTAGGAGTTGATTCTGATCGTCAATTTGATTGAAACAAATGACAAAACCACTTAGGGCATTAATGAGCATACTTTGTGTCTGTGAGGGCTCTTCCAGAAAGGCTTAACTATATTAGGTGTGTCCTGCTCTGAAAGAGGACAGCATCATCCTATTGGTTGGGGTCTCGGACTAAAAAGGTGAAAGGAGCAAGGTTTTCCATGCTCCTGTTTCCCAACTGGTCCACCATGATGCAAATTAGCAGCATCCTAGTACCATGCCTTCCCCCAGAACAATGCACTGAATCCCTTAAATGTGAACCAAAATAACTTTTTCCTCCACTAAGGGGCTTCTACTAGGCATCTGGTCATAAGAATGGGAGAAGTTATAACTAGATATATAACTGGTGATTTATCAATACATAGCCAGGTGAAGATATTTAAGTATTTAATAGGGAGATGCCTTACAGAGCAACCTAGCTAGCCAGCTGGGAACAAAGTAAGCAGCACAAGCCAATGAAGCAGGGAAAAAGAAGGCCCACCATGTGCATTCCCTAACTCTTAAGCCTCTTCCATGTCACCCTGACATCACCTTAACCATACCCTGATGGGCGTGGTTGAGCACACCTGTAGCCAGCCCTTAGGAGGCATGGTTACCGTGTTTTCCTACAATTCCCCTTTTAGTCTAAAAGAGGATTAAAATTTAACAGTGTAAAGAATCCATAATTAACATTCATAAGAGTAAAATACAAGAAGATACAATAATCTGCTATGTCACATCCTAACTATGTCTATTATAACTAAACCCTAAAATCATCTGAAAGAGGTGTCCAAGCCTGAACACCTACTTCCAATCCCAACCCTAAACAATAGGAAACTATCCCTAACTTGGTGTACATTATCCTTAGTGACAACAATGGGGGGAAGGGGGCGTAATATTCTCTAAGTTACTTCCTGCTGAAAGGGGATGACAATAGCCTCGTGGGGTCCTGTAAGAAGAAAATGTTAGTATAGTGAAAGTTGTAAATGGATTGTATCCAGTCCATGTTTGATGGGATTTGCTTGATTGAAGATCTAGGTTGAAGACTTAACTTGATTGAAGTTTTTGTGTTGACTGAAGTCAGTACCGGAAGCTCTGGCCGGAATGTCAGTTGAAACGAAGAAAGTTGGATCCAGTGTACTTGAGGAGTTGTGGCCCATTCTCTTTCTGGAGCATCCAGGGATTGATGTCATGCTGGTCTTCATTGGTTGTGTGGGACTCAAACATAAATGTTAGCAGAGGAATGTTTGCTTGGATGACTGGTGTTCCTAGCAACCATGATAGAGAAACCACCCTCTAAAAAGCATCCTCATGGGCAGATGGCAAATCAGTGGTAGCCCATCCAGTTAAAAGATCTCAAGAGTATTAAGGAATCGGTTGTCTCATATGGTCTCCATAGCCCGTATGTGAAACAACTATTAAATTTGTGCTCGACTTTTAACAGGGTGGCACCCACAGACTGGGAATGCCTAGTGGCAGCTGTGCTTGAAAATTTGTCTCAGATACAGTGGAGGGCTCTCTGGAGGGAGGAAGATAAGGCCCTCGAGCTTCAAGGCATAAAGAACGGTTATGAAGCTCCCCAGGCTAAGATCCTGGGTGAGGGCATTTTTGCTAATCCATAGGTACAGGCTGAATATGATGACCATATATTGTCCTTATGCAGAACAGCAGCCTTAGATGCCTGGGATAAGGTTCGTGAGCCTGGAGAGAGGATGGAGACTTATACCAGGATAGAGCAGGGACCGACAGAATATTGCCATGACTTTATACAAAGACCAGGGCAGTAGAATTGCAGATCTAAAAACCAGAAAATTGATCATATACACTATAGCTTATGAAAATGCAAGCCCAATATACAAAAGATTACTTTTGCCTTTAAAGATCAGATCAGCACCACTAGAAGAATGGGTTTTGCATACAGCTAATCTCGACTATAATGTACATGATACAGGAGCTTGGGTAGAAGAGGTAATCTTGAAAGGTTTAAAAAGGCAACAGGAGATTAAAGGTTCTAAAGACAATGATGCAGAAGCTTGGGAAGGAGAAGTACCTAATGCCAAAGGTAAAAATAAAACTTGAAGACTTTGAAAAGTCAGGAGCAATGATGTGTTTGGGTCAAAGGGGGAGAATTTTCAGAGGCTGGGAAGATGGATCATTTGGGAAGAACCTTTGATGTGCAAGCATGTGGACTCCATTTGGATCCCCAGCACCCATATGAGAAGCCAGAGATGACAGGTGTG